CCAGTGCTCCCAGTGTCCCCCAAAGCCTGCCCAGTGTTCCCAGTAACTCCTAGTAGCCCCTGACACCTCCCTCACTGCTCCCAGTGGCGCACCCAGAGCCTGCCCAGTGCTCCCAGTATCTGCTCTGCGGGAAGGCTGTGGGATGTCGCACAGGGCCGTGGGACTTTGCACGGGCCGAGGCGCGTTGTGCGTGGCCATGGGATAGCGTACGAGCAGCGGGATGTCGCACGGGCCCACTGCAGCCTTGTGCGAGCCCGTGAGGCCTTGCACGGGGCCCTGGCTTGTTGCACAGGGCCTCTGTGGGCTCGTGCGAGCCCGTGCAATGGTGCACGGGGCCCTGGGATGTGGCAGGGGCCCGCCGTGGACCGCACAAGATGCTCCACGTTTGGTTTGATCCAAATTTGTGCTCCACCTCCTGCCCACCTCGTCCTCCTCCTGGCCACTGCCTGCACAAGATACCCCACAACCGGATGAAGGGGCGAGGAATTCAGAACTGAGGGGTTTTTATTCTGAGTTATTTCCAAATTTGAGAGCCTATTACGGAAACAGCCCTGCTCTGCACCTGCTCTCGCTTCCCTAGCCAAGCTGAACAAAATCTGCCACTTTACCGTTTCGCAACCGGTGGTTTTTGATACCTTTTTCATGCCCCACGGGACGCGCAGAAACAGGAAACTCAGAGCAGAAATATTCAGTGCTTGCCCCAGCCCTCAAGCTGATCAAAAAGCCCAAAAACTTTTAATACAAGGAAGTAAACGGGGGATAGTTTAGAAAAAGCCCTAAAGCCGGATGGAAAAGGGTTTCGGAATCGCTGCGGGGTAACACGGCGCTGCTGCGTGCAAGAGGAGCAAGTTTCTACAGACACGGCACCACGAACTGCACATGAACTGTGTGAAAATCCACCACCACACATTTTTGGACTCACGTTTACCAAACCATCTCAAACTCGCGTCATTTGTCAGGTCCACAAACAGGGAATCATGTTATTTTAAGTATTATTTTAAATTTGCTTTACATTTTGAGTTTTAAAGTCTCATCTGTGCACGTCTGCTTTGCTGGATCGCTTTGCGTTTTTAAGACGCGGAGCTCAGCTATCGGGCAGATTCAAACCTGGTTTTAGTCACATTCATATTTAGCTTACAAATCCTGATGGTTTCTGTCCAGATCTCCTTAATTCAGAGATACCGAGAACAGCCACTAACCAGGCCTGCTTCACCGCTCCCACCAGAACGGCGACGCTAGAGACGACTACGGACGGCTGGGACAAACCAGAACCCCGGGCACTTGGCTGACAAAGGCTGAATCGCTTGTACTCCAGTAGTTGTTGACGCCGTGGCTCTGAAAGACACCAGGAACCTCAATTCTTGTTTTTTTTTTACCCCAGCTCTAGCAGAGAAGTACTGCGCTTCCTAAGAACCTAAAAGTCATCTGCCTTTTCTGTCTCAGCAGCTTCGTCTGTCAGCACAGGAACACTGTTCCTTTCCTGCTGCACCAACAGACACCGTGCAATCTCAAAACGTTCTTTGCTACTGAAAGCTAAAACCTCACTGCTACGCACGCAGATGCGTGAAAAAACAGGTAGGAAAGAGCCACCGACGCTAAGTTTTAGGCAAAAACTAAAGCAGAGCTAAAGTCAGAATTAACAAAGGCATGTCCAACCAACCAGTGAGGGAAACCGAGTGTCACCCTACAGCCAGAGCTGCTCCAGACAAGTGTCTGTCCGTCCGTCCTCACATCGCCGACATCACGAGACCCCAAACCCCACACCTGCTCCTCCAGTCCCTCACTTAGGGAAGAGTGTGGCCAGGTGGAAAAAGAACGAGGAGCAGAAGAGCCGAAATCTATCTGTTTAATATCACGCACCCCTTTCACATCACAGCGACCGACACAAACCACATGATGTGGTCACCGTGCGCAATTCCAGCCTGGCACCCAGCCCCCACTGAACGGAAGGAATTATTACATGGAAATTTGCGTTTGGCGAAGCACCATCTGCCCCAAAAAGAGGGGGGAAGTGTGTTTTACACCACAACCAAGTGCTACGAAGAAACGCAGCATTCTTCACCTGGAATGTCACGCAGCTGGTGCTGCGGTTACCGTCACCCGGGCCCGGCCCAGCAGTCGGCTCTACAAGACAGAATGTTTCTCAACGGGGATGGTCAGCTCCTTGGCTGCCGACTCATCCAGGAACCAGCGCAGCTGCCCGGAGCAAGGCCGGACACGGGCGGCGGGAAGGGGGTTTTCCTCATCACCTTCCAAAATGCGCTGTTGGGAGAGAGGGATTGGCGTCTCAGCCGAGCCGTTGGCGAAAGAGAACTGCAAACCGCTCCTAAAATGCTTCAGCGGTTGACTGAAACCTCTCGATCGCTCATTCCCCCCAAACACCTTGGATTTTCATTGACAAAATTAACAGTTTGGGTCCAAACCTTTAAAACAGCAGCTTTGCCTTCCCCCGTAGCCACGAACACAACCATCCGTGCAGCATTCAGCACGGGCAGCGTTAACGTTATTCGCTCTGGCGGCGGCTTCGGCGAGTCAGTAATAGCAGCAACTATCTTCTCTTCCTCCTATCAAAGTGAAAAAAAAAACCAAACATGAAAAGAGGAAAAAAAAAACAACCCAAGCAGGGGAGCAATCCAGGCTCTGACCATAAATGGGGTGAGTGACGGCTGCTGAGGGCGACCGAGGGTCCTCAACCATTCCACAGCTCCACCCGAGTCAAGATTGCCCTTTTGTTGCCCCAAAACTCAGAAAAAATAATTAAAAGAAGAAAGCGGGGGGCTAAGTCAACATCAACAGCTTTTCTTTTCACTCTCGTCCTCTTTATTTGTCAAACCACAGCACCCCTAAATCAGGAACTGCCGCACGGATGCTACTTGCGAGTTGCCTGATGAAAACGAGGCGTGAGAGCATCCCCACGGACACACATGAAAGGCAGAGGTGCGGCTGAGCTCACCTGCAGCAGGGGGTGGCCGGGGAAGAGGGAGCAAGTGTGTCCGTCCGGCCCGACCCCCAGCACCAGCAAGTCGAAGACGGGCACATCCTCTCCCGGGAACGCCTGCGGAGAGGAGGGAAGATGGAGCCGGGGCGGGAAGGCACTTCTCCCCGCGGACTCTCGGCGCCGGTACCTGGCGGCAGAGGTGCGGCTGAGCTCACCTGCAGCAGGGGGTGGCCGGGGAAGAGGGAGCAAGTGTGTCCGTCCGGCCCGACCCCCAGCACCAGCAAGTCGAAGACGGGCACATCCTCTCCCGGGAACGCCTGCGGAGAGGAGGGAAGATGGAGCCGGGGCGGGAAGGCACTTCTCCCCGCGGACTCTCGGCGCCGGTACCTGGCGGAGCTGCGCGGCGTAGTCAGCGGCG